CCCTATCCATCCCACAACTAGATAGCGAGGAGGACATAAAGCTTTCAGCCACTCCACTCGCTCTCTTGAACTCCATCCTGGAGTCTTTCCAACTCACTGCCGCCAATCCCTTGTTCAAGGCCTGTCTCAAGGTATTCCTCTTTGATCACATGTCTGGTCTTCTTTCCCCTGCCCACCCTCTTTGGCTCCCACCCCCAGCTCAGTTGCTCAAACAGCATTGTCGAGTGTTTCAAGTCAACAACAACAACTTGCATTTATATAGTGCCTTCACGTAGGACAGCGGCTCAGAGCAGTTAAGACATTCTCCTGACACGAAAGGCGCGATATAAATGTAAATTGTACTGTATTTACTGCTTTATAACATTTACTAATTTATGCAAACTAAGATTACATCAGGTTTAGCAAGTGGAGAAGGGGCTGCTACAAATTAAATTCAGAAGGAGATATTAGGGTTTATTTAGTGACATTTAATGACATGCCTGATAATAATCCCTCAAAAAAAACAATAATAAATTGGTCATTTCAATCCACGACTGTTTGTGGGACACTACTGTGCGCAATTGGCTGCCACACTCTCGCCACGTCCTCCCGACGTGAAAAGCGCTATATCAAATGCAAGGATTATTATTATTATTATTATTATTATTCTGTGAAGCTCTTTGAGACATCTAGAAGACGTGAAAAGCGCAATATCAAATGCAAGGATTATTATTATTATTGTTCGCAAAATGGATTTGTTGTGTTAATTACAATGGTTGTAAATACTACATTAATTTATAAGAATCCCAAAAGCCAGCAAACTTGAATAAAGTTTGCTGGGCTGACAAGAGCTTCTAGACCTCGTTGGGTTCACTACAAGTGTCACAAATTATTATTTGCAAACCTGAAGTTGATATTAACAATTCTGGTCTGCAAATATTGCTAACTTGACGCCAAGTGACAGCCAAATATGTCCCAGTCCAAGATTTTTACTGTTATCCAACATTTTGTCAAGGATACTTACCTAGGAATTACCAGCACTAGAAGGAAAGACAAAATCATGGACAATTACAGCAGAAAAAAGAATGGAATAATGACATCAAATGGTGTGAGAGAAAAAGAAAAATCAAGTTCAATGGTCAAAGACCAAAAGAACTGCAATGTGATGATATGCCACTGACAATAATTCAACCTTGATCAGATCATAAATTGTACCTGAAGCTAAACATTCATGGTAGAGTCGGGATGGCTGGTTTACAGTCTCCAATTCTATGCAAACATCCAATGCAATAAAAGTGGTTAAGAAACCAAATGGATAAATGCATTGTACATAGGATGGCACCATTAATCTTCAGAGTCTGCATTTATAGGTTCAGAAAATCTTGTACACATAAGTTCATAATTGCTCTGCACCTGTTTTTCATGACTATTTCAAAATGCCATCTGCAGTTGTGCGTTTCAATTTCACATCACATATAGTAGGCATTTGATACAATTCAATATGCAAGTCTTTAAGAGAATGCTAAATTCACGGTATTAGCAAAATTCCCTGGATTGAAAGCCAAGGTGATATTAAATGAAAAAGCTCTCTCTGGAGAGGGGACTAGTACAGGGATCAATTCTGGGTTGTTGGTGTTTAAACTGTTCATAGCTGTTTTGAAGTAGAGCAGCTCTTGTAATATAACATTTGCTGACAGTGCTAAGTGTGCAGTACACTTGTATGTAATAGTTTTCTGCAATGGCAAGAGGCATATTGTACTACTTGGGTGGTGTATTTTAAATGATTATTTTTCAAATTGATAGGTGATGGCTGTGCTCAGTGTGTCAGCAGGAAGCAGCTCCAGCTCATGTCTAGCATAGCCTCATGCAAAATTAAGCTGATTCTACTGGGGGAGAAATTCTGTTCTGCATTAGGTGTAGCGCCTTTGGTGATAAGCGACTCGAAAAAGGAAATCTCTTTAGCGGGCGACTTCACCAAAGGTGACATGTGCAACGCTGAGCAGAATTTTTACCCTATTTACTTTAGTCCCTCCTGCCCTCCGTTCCACCATTGGTAGTCACTCTTTCAGCCACTGGGCACCGAAACTCTGGAACACTCTTCCTCTATCCCTCCTCCATGCCCTTCCTTCCCCATCTTCAGGTCACACCTGAAGACCTTCCTCTTCAACCGTGTTTTTGGTCAGCTCCCCCCAGCTTGGTGTCGTGCTCTGCCACTGTCAAGCACTCAAGCATGCTTCCCTGTGTTAGGGCCGCTATATATAACCTCACTAAAGCCAGTCAGGAACCTGGGTGTCTTGTTTGACCCTGAACTGTCCTTTCTCCCCCACATCCCCACTATGACTGGCACTGCCTACCATCACCTCCGCAACATTGCCAGACTCCGTCAGTGCCTCACCCCTCAGGCTGCCAAAACCATCACCTGCGCATTCGTCACATCAAGGTTCGATAATGGAAACTCCCTCCTCATCGGCCTTCCCAACTCTTCCCTTCACAAGCTGCAGATCATCCAAAACTCTGCAGCTTGTGTACTCTCGCACACCAGTCTCCGCGACCCCATCACTCCCACCCTCGCCCTCTCCACTGGCTCCCCATCCTCCAGAGGATTGAGTTCAAGATCCTTGTCCTCACTCTCAAGGCCATCCATGGGCGTGCCCTCTCCTACCTCTCTGACCTGCTACCAACCTGCCTGCTCCTTTTGTTCAGCGGGCTCCGGCCTGCTCCATGTCTCCTGCCCGACCCTCCCGACCATCGGTGGCCGGGCTTTCAGCCTCTCTGCCCGCACACTCTGGAATTCTATCCCACAGTCCCTTCGCCTCGCTTCCTCCCTTGCCTCCTTCAAGGCCGGTCTCAAGACCCTCCGCTTTGTTCGTGCCCTCAGTCGCCCTCTCACCTCTCTGCCTTCCCTCACCCCTATCCCACCCCTCCCCCATGCTCCCGATGTGAAAGATGCTCTATAGATGTAATTTTGTTGTTGTTGTTGTAAATGCATGTTTTTGTGGTTGTTAACTGTAACCATGAAGGCTAATTCCCTCCTGTAGCAGTAAATGCTTTAATTTCTCATGCCAGCTTTCCTTACAGGATTTCTAAGAGAGATTGAAAAGTCGTGTCATTCAGGACTAGCGCAGGATTCTGATTCTGCCACAATGCCCATCTTGGGTGCCCAACCAAGTACTGTTAAGCAACTCAGGTCATGAAAGACGCTACATAAATGTAAAATTCGCAATGCATTGTGTTGTAAATCGTTAATATTGTGCTATTGTTAGCACACCAGCTCGGAGTCAGTTCCACCACTGTTAAGCACTCTGAAACACTACCCTGGGTGGAGGGCGCTATATAAGTGTAAGTTGTTGTTGTTATTGTGCTATTTGCTGAAGCTGTTATTTCTAAGCAAAATTCACAGAAACTGCCAATACATATCACAGAATATGAAGAATAACAAATTGAAACTCTTTCTTAAAGAGTAGGTGCAGAAATATCCATTAAATCACTGCAGAACCCCAATACTGAAGAAATGTCCATCAACACCCCAAGTAAAATATTATTTTCTCCTCTACAAATGTAACTCTTTTTATGTTATTCAACAATGTCGTGTCTAAGCTCCCAAGGCAGCTGCAATTCGATGTGGGAATGCAATTTGATACCGAGGGTCAGAGGTGAGAAACTTTCATCTTTCGTGACTAACAGACAAGATCCAACAGCAATATTGTTCCGAGTAAGTGATAGGCTTGATTGGACCAGTACATCAACTACTATAATTTGGGTGATATGGATAGCCACATGGCAGTTATTCTGCTCCATGTTGTACATTCATTAATGTGGGCTAAGCCCTCGACTTCTCAAATAGGTACAGCTTGCAAATTTGTCCCTTGTGCACAGGGATGCAATTCTGTATGAATAATAATAATAATAAATAATAATAATCATTGCATTTGATACAGTGCTTATCATATTGTTGAGACATCTTAAAACGCTTCACAGGATCTAATGTAAAATGGTTGACTGTGTATTTTGTGGGCAAAATGCAGCAGCCAGTTGCTCACAGCTATGGAGGGAGTGACCAATTTTACTTCAGGGAATTGTTGGCCTCGACAACATAATAATCCTCCCAACATGCCCCAGGTCTGACAAAGGGTTGTGGACCCGAAACGTTGACTCACTTTCCTTTCTCCATAGATGCTGCCTGACCTGCTGAATGTTCCCAGCGACTCCTGTTTTTGTTTTTAGATTTCCAGCATCTACAGTATTTTTTGTTTTGATAATAATCTTTGTATTTGATACAGTACCCTATCACATTATTGAGATGTCTCAATGTGCTTCACAGGAAATACTGTAAAATGTATTTTAGAGTGCTGTATATTTTGCGGCAAATGTAGGGATAACTTGGCATTGAAGCTCTTAAATTAAATTGTACGTTTAAAATTGCGTTAATGTTTTCTTGTGATTGCACACAAACAGATTTGCAAAATTTTAGCTCATGCAAAATCTAAAGAATACTGTCTCTACTTGTATCAACAGTGTATCACATGGAACGCATAGAACAGAATGACCTCTATGTTTTTCAGCTCATCTGGAGAGAAATAGATAAGCTAATAATATTAATAATGCTACATTTAATACAGAGTGTATAATATCAAGTATGTCTTCACAAAATTCTGTGCAATGTAGTGACTGCATATTTTGTCAATGACGAGTAAAAATATATAGTAACCCTACTGTCTTCCTTAAGGTTTGTGGCTGGATAAACATCACACTGTATTTAGATTACTTTGTACCAGGTGTAGAGTATTATTATTAGTAGTATTTTATGATTATTGTCACTATTATGATCTGATGATTAAATGCTTGAAGAAAAAAATACATTGAAGGATCTGGGTGAAAAAGCAGGAGAATAGGATTAGAGTGGACAGTGCAAGTAGGAGATCAGCACAGACACAGACATAAACTTTCTATGATTTTATGCCAGGATTCTTCTTTTTTCCGAAACTTCCTGCCAAATTCAAATACATTTCTGACAGACTTACGAAGGCTCCTCAGACACAGCCACTATTTCCTCCAGTTCCTGGGCCTGCTTATACCAGGGCAGCTTAGCTTCCACAGGCAGCTTCTCTGGAAACAGACAATAAGAATACCTTTGAAGACTTTGGACAATGGAATCCACCTCAAATGATCTTCAACCTATCTTAGCCAGCAAGATCATAAAGTTTAAGATGGTGCAGAATTGTCAAAGGTTCTTAAATCCTGTCTTAATGTGGAAGCTTTTTAAGACCTGTGGAATATTGGCATCCAAATTGATAGTAAATTTAAGAATTTTCCACAATTCTGTTATGGGAAACTCGTCTCACGCACTAAGATTGATTTTTCCATGAACAGAACATCAATACTGTGCTATGAACTCAAATGAAGTACAGTTCCTACACACCAAAACACAAACACTTGGGTTTTGAAACGCTTCAGCAGACAAACATTGGATTGAGACAAAGTGGGTGGACAAAAGATTTGCACAGTAAACCCCCGAGGAATAACTCATGCAGCTATAATGATCCAGTTGCTTCAGCTCCGTGATGACTCACAATCCAACAGAACAAGAACAGCTGTCTCATGGCAACACCACCTCCTCCAAGGTCCCCTCCAAGTCACTCACCATCCCAATTTGGACATACATTCCCCATCACTCCTTCGTTGCTGGGTCAAAATTGTGCAACACAATTGTGGAAGAACCATCACCACCAGGATTGCAGCAGTTCAAAGAGAAGATCCCACCATCTCAGGACAACCAGGGCTGGACTTGCCAGTGTCCCTCCCATACTGAGATGAATAAAGGCAATCAAATGGTGCTAAATATACACCTTAATATAATCCTTCATATTTACCTTTTGGTTTGTAGCATGGGACAGGGATGGTGCATTCTTCCTTGATGTGAGGTTTTTTCTTAGAGTTACATCCACCCGCATGCAGTCCTCTGTGGTCAATACAAAGGACCACTCTGTATCTGAGTCCTTGTCCGCATGTCACTGTACACTGGGAGGACAGGGGGAAGAGAAGAGCAATACTAAATAAAAGATGTGGCCTTACATCTGCAGCCATAAATGCATTCATCTGCCTGAGAACAAGAGACAAATAAATGAATATAATTAAAATAACAGAGCTCTGTGTAATGTGCTGGTGCACTGTGATACTTATTGCTGCTGCCAAGAAAAGCACTTGGATATGAATTAAGGGCATAACACCAGTCTATGAAAAAGTCATGCTCTTAAATGGTCAACAAATTATGTTGCCCTGTAGCGAGTGAATCATACCAATAAAATTTCAAAGTTAGTGCCTGATGACAACAACAGTGAGAAAATGTTGACTTACGACAGTTGCCTTTCCAAGGAAGCAACAGCATGTTGGGTCAGGAGGGCATCTCACATAAAGCAATAGTCATCTTGATGACGCATGACAGATACCATCCTTGGTATCTTTTCCACCAAACAGACATCAATTCTATCACTAAGGTGTGTGGTCACATTGTAATCATTTTAGACTGAATCACACCCCAGTGAAAAGGATTATTCCAACTATGGTTGGAAATTTGGCTTAGGGAAAAAATGTTTTTGAAAGTTTAGCATTTTATTGCAAAAAAAGAAAATTCTTATGAAGTGACTGAGTGGAACTAATGGGCTTTAGGTGTACTTGCCAAAGCAGGGTCAGACTTGATTTCAGTCTCATCCTTAACATATCCAGTCTATCTGGAGTTTGAGAAGATAGTGAGTCTAACAGTTTATCACTGGCTAATTATTTATATGACAGTACCTCTCCTTATATGTCCATACAATTGGAGCATAAGGGACATTGTATATTGAGCATTCTTCTTTTCATTCACATTATTCCTGTCCACGATGACAGGTTTGTTTCATGTTTAAAGATTTTAACCCATGATTCAAATTCTGGGAGATGGAGACCACAATTCTTCTCACTTTATCTGCTGATCAGAAGATGTGCATTTTAGCTTTAGATTTGATCAGATTGACTCAATCCAGTAGCGATAAGAAAACAGTGTGAGTAAAACACAACAGGATATCACAAGATAAATATTATGATATAAACCCTGCAGTTTATAGAGGGGAAAAATGAACAATTCATAAATATCAAATCACAAATTGCATTATTTAACCCCATAAACTATGTTTAACCATGTTTAACAATATTCAGTCACTAAATTTTAGGGTAAAATCCTTTGAAGCACTTTGTGATGTCTTAAAGGCAAATGCGAGGATTATGATATTGTTATATTAACCTATGTTTGGATTGGGTGGTACAGCGCAAAATGAAAAGGGACAAAGTGGCAGCAGTGCTCACTTTATATATTCAGTTCCAAGAAGCTGTTTTTTTTAATCTATAGGTTATTGACTCCTATGAGCTGCCACTGAAATATCTCACTGATGGAACAAATAAACAATATAAACTAAGCAATTTGTTAAAAAATAAAGCACCTTGTTGCTGCAGCAAGGGATAGTTTATATAGCTTGATCTCATTCAGTACAATTCAGTGAATCATGGGTCATCATCCACATCAATTTATTCTGGTTTTGATGAGAAGCACAGCACAGCATGAAGTGAGCTCAGAGAGGTATTTTGTTTCGTGAGCTGGATTTGGGTAAGGTCATATATATTTAATGTATCCCAGTTGCTGGGTCTATTGCTGTCTCAGAAAACATGGTGATGATGTGGCAGTAGTAAGATTAGGTGCAGAAGACTTTGGGAATTGACTAGAGTTAGATGGAGATTGATATGAGGGAATGAATTTAAATATATAAAGCCTCATCTGATTGGAATCAGCTGTTTAAACTGATCTAAACCGATGAACAGTGGCAGAGACATGACAGTGACAGAGACATGGGTGGGGGTGCTGTGGAAGGAGCAGGAGAGAAGCAGAACCTAACTCATGGTCTGCATTGCAATACCGCTGGAATTGAGCTAAATATAATGCAGCTGAACTTGAATGTTGCACTGGTAAGTTTCTTGCTACTTGTTTGTCTAGAACAACACCTAAATGTCAGGATTTTATTTTTTTAATCAGGAGATGAATGAAAGAAATCCTCAAACCCTTCCCTCCTCAATGACAGGTCAAATCTTGCTTCACAAGATTTATTCCGATGTGTAGTGACTGTAAACTTTATAGGCTAAAGCAGCAGCGAATTTGCGCACACCAATGTCCCACAAACAGCCATGAAGTGAATGAACAATTTTATCTGTGTATTGCTGGCCAGAACACCAGGAGACATTCCCTCCTCTAGTGGGATGGGACCTTTAAAATCCACCTGAATAAGCAGACGTGGCTTCGGTTTAATGTCTCATAAAATAACTCCAAGCACTGCATTTGAGTGCGAAACCAGGATGCTATGAGTTCAAACACCCAATGTGGGGCTTCTATCCCTAATCACCTGACACATAGGCAAGTGTGCTACCAACTGAGCCAAACTGACTCTCATATTCGGGCATATTATTACAGGACACACTCAAGCTCAGGTACATCCAGCTTCACTTTCACTTCTACTTTCACTCACTTGTGTTTAGGCACAAGTTGGACAACAGACACTAGACAATTTTCCAAAAGTAACCTAGATTAATATTATTTATGGTGGAACTTTAACAGCTGCAGTTTTCTGACGATGGACCAATTTTTAAAAAAAATGCAGAGAACGAATGTGGTCACGGCAGAGACATCAGGACTGAAACAGTAGTTGATACTGGCCTCCATACAAGAATGGGTACATTCCTTCTAAGAACACATCTAGAAACTGAGACAGCTTCCCAAATGTTGCTAACAATGAGGCAATTGTGGACTGTTGTTTTCACTCCTGATATTGTCTGTGTCGGCAGGAATTAGGTAATTAAAGGGATTTTGTGACAGCATGTCTGAAATCATAAGATGAAAGAAATGCTTACCGGAGACCATTCCTGGGTCAACCACTTTGGACAGTCAAAGAGGTTACAAGGCTGCACGACAGGAAACTTGTGTGTGTACATGCACTTCCACTCCTCCACTGTGTTTATCTGTCCATTAATGTCTTCCTCCACACAGGAGATAGTGCGGATCTGAACACCTCCACCACAGGAGCTGGAGCAGGAAGTCCAGGGACTGCTGTCCCATCTGATAAGATACAAGAAACAGTCAAGCTTGGGTGCACTGCATTTACAGGTAAATTCTCAGTGACATGCAAGACAAGGGGCACAGTTTCATCACTGAGGTTCATGGCAATGACTTTGCACCTGATGTGCAAGCGAATAGAGGCACCTGCAATACAGCTATTTTAATGTTCATACATCCTACTGAGGGGTTTTATTGCTGTCTCTGGCACCAAGATTCAGGTCATGTCAGGGTGCTCTTCCACACTGAGCTGTTTCATAAACCACAAGCACATTTTTGAGAGGTATAGCTGTAATAAGCTGTTTGCCTTAAACCATGAGACTCGAGGGTTTAGAAACTTCAATTAAAAAGCTGTAAGTTGGATTAGAGTTTAGATTTGTTACCTAGAGAGTTATAAAGTACCTCCCAATAAAAGCAGCTGGTGCTCCATACATTAACTCCTTCAGAATACATATTTGCTTGGGACCCATTTGGGAGGTAAAAACAGTGTGCAGAATCAGATGGACACTCTGTGGGACACAATGGTTTCTATGCTACTGGAGCCAGGAAATGTATATCTGCAATGAAGCTGGGAATGTGGTGACAGATATTCATAGAATCATCATAGAATTACACAGCCAAGAAGGAGGCCATTCGGCCTTTCGTGTCTGTGCCGGCTCTTTGAAATGAGCTATCCAAATCAATCCCACTCTACGCTCTCTCCCCATAGCCCTGCAAACTTGTTCTCACCAAATAATTATCTAATTCTCTCTTAAAAGCTGTTATCGAATCAGCTTCCACCACCCTTTCAGGCAATGAATTCCAGATTCGAACAATTCGCTGTGTAAAAAAAATTTCTCCTCACCTTCCCTCTGTTTCTTTTAACAACTATTTTAAATTGGTGCCCTCAGGTTACCGACCCATCCGCCAGTGGAAATAGTTCCTCCTCGTTCACCCTATCGAATCACCTCATAATTTTGAAAACTTCTATTAATTCTCCTTTTAACCTCCTCTGCTCCAAGGAGAATAATCCTGGCTTCTCTAGCCTCTCCTGATAACTGAGGTCCCTCATTCCTGGTACAATCCTGGTAAATCTCCTTTGCACCCTCTCCAATGCCTTGACATCCTTCCTAAAGTGTGGTACCCAGAATTGAGCACAGTACTCTAGCTGAGGTCTAACCACATATATTATGTGGGAACATTTTGAATGTTTTTCTTGAGGTTTATCAATAGGAATCAGGGAGTTTCTATGTGAAACATTGCTCCAGGAGTAGATTTTGTGTGGTCTGTGGAAGGATCAGGTCTGGTGGGTCAATGGTGGTCCTACATTTTTTGTTACATTCTTTATGTCCGTAAAGATTTTTTCGCTGCTCATGAGCCGATTGGTTTAATTTTTTCTGGGGGGACGAGGTGTATGGAAGGTAACATGTTTTAAAATTTGTAAATGGCTGAATAAACGAGCTGACAAATGAAGGAGCTAATCCTTCTACATTTCCTTACTGATCAATGCATTCAGTGGTTCACTGTCAAATGGTATTTACACTTATGGGGGCCAGAAATCCCATCTGGCTCTAGCCATAGCCTATCTGCTTAACATTTTACAACATTTACGTTTTTAAATCCAGTCTCTGGTTTTCCACAGGTTCTTATAACAACTACAGGAAACCGGCTCCCAAATGAAGACTGGATTTTAAAAAATTGCCAAAAATTGCATTCTCTGAAAATTTAAGAAAATAGTTTAAGTCTAAACCCAGGTGGAATCTTTGGCCCATGAACTTGGGTGATCTTGGATCAGCGGCAAAGTCTTGTGAGTTGATGTGACATATATGGTTCTATGCTAGATAGATAATTAAAAAGGAGGAATGTTTTAGGGTATGGGGAAAGCCAGATAAATGGGACTGAAGAGATTGCTCATTTAAAGACCAGCTTAGACACAATGGGCTGGATGGCCTTCTTCTGTGCTGTAGGTATCTTTGGTTCCATACATAGGGGTCCCCTGCTTTATTTATCTCAATTTAAATTGCAAGATACTGTTTTCCTGAGGAGAATTTTTTCAACCAGCCTATCATGATTAGATGTCCTATGAAGGATCTAATGCAAAATGATCAGCCCTCTTCTTGCTACCTTAGTTGTATAAAATGGGATGTTAACACCTGTGAATTAACCAAACAGATTTGCAAGGTTTTGAGAAAATAATGGACAAGTTATTTTCTATATCGACTAATAGGTAAGCTACAAGCCTCCAATTAAAGTGTTAAGTGGACATCTCAAAGTGTAAGTCAGGGATGTCATCAAGTGTTTGGTGTCAAACAGTCTGAGATCTGCATAATGTAACAGGATCTTATATCAGACTGAGGATGTTTGCACTGCTCACCCTGCAGAAAGAAGTACATTAAAACAAAACTGTTTGTGGAGAACAAGGCAGGGTACTTGTGTAAACTTATGTTCTTGTGCCAACCCAGGAAGAAATTGTGCGCCAAATTATTTTGTTTAAGTTTTGTAGAAGTCTCAGTGGGTGATGCTATCTTTCCCAGTATGTTTAGTGCACATTAAGTTCATCTAATGGGGTAGTTTAGTGTTGGGCCAAACAGACCAACAGATTCTTATCCATGTTTATGCTAAGTTAGCTGATTTCTGTTTGGGCAACAGGAGGGGAGTTACAATTGACCTCAGTGCCTTTAAATCTGTCAGAGCTTTTACCTTTGATGGTTATCATGTCAAGGCTGATAAATGAATAATAGGCATTTGGACAAGGCAGACATGTAATTATACCCATCATGAAGTAAAAAGGAGTGAAACTCCTTCAGGAGAGAAGAATAGAAGAAAATTTGACAGGGAAAAAAGGATTTTTTTTCATAAATGCAAACATTGTGAAAATGCTCTAAACCTACTGGCAAAATCTAGCGTCATCCATTGGCGAGCCCTTGACATACATTGATGCTCAAACCTATGTCATCTGCTATCTCAAACAGATTCTGGACTAATTGACAACATCAGTCAAACACTAATTTCTAAGGTCAATTTTGATATGGGAAAAACAGGCAGAGTTCACCCTAATTGCAAGGCAGTCAATTTTAAGGCAAAAGCTTCATTTGGATCTATGATTTCTGTTACGGCAGGTTGTAGGATTTGTTCAGTTTTGTTTTTTTAAAAAAAGGAATGTTCTGGCATTTCACCATTGGATCCAATGATTATTTGGATTGTCGCCACATTGAGGTGAGATGGTGTGGCACAAAAAGGGGAGAAATCCCACGGTGAGTCAACTCAAGTTGCTCATGGGCATCTCCTAATGGCCAGTTATAGAACTACATTGTCAGCGACATGGAAGTAACTGATTGCTTACTGTTTTAGCTGAGGAATGGTATTTATAATAATAATAATCTTTGCATTTGATATAGCGCCTTATCACGTCTTCGAGACATCTCAAAGCGCTTCACAGAGTAAACTACCGTAAAGTGTATTGACTATATTTTGTGGGCAAAACGCAGCAGCTAATTGTACACAGCAGTGTCCCACAAACAGTCATGGATTGAGTGACCAAGTTATTATTATTATTTTTTTTCAAGGAATTATTACCACCATAAAAGCGATCTTCCAATCAACTAACAACCGGGTTCCTGCTTACTGCTAGGTAAACAGAGACGTGTGGAGTAAGGAAATTTGCCCAACGTTTCGCCCTGCCAGGAATCGAACCCTCTCGCTTGCAAGGTGAATGCTCTAACCACTGAGCTACAGGAGTCCATGTAGAGTTGGAATGAGGGGGAAGTGAGAACGAGGAATATTTGAACACATTTACAAATGTTGAAAATTATTAGAGGCTGCTAAGAAGCAGCCAAATCTTCAGTACAGGTTTTACCTTAAAATATGGCCTAAGTTTGTTGAACGGCAACTTATTTTGCATTAAGCTTTTACTGCCGCACACACTGTAGCCATGGCGCAAAGCTTGAGAGAAAAAACACAGTGAACAAGACAAAGTAATGCAGAAGCCAGGACAGCTTGTAAGGCCCAGTTCCCCAGACACATTGTGACCAAACACAGCGGTTCTTTACAAATCTGGTAGCAGCATCATGCATCAGGTGATGGGAAAAAGGAAAAAAGAATGACTTTAACCAGTGTGGTAACTAAAGCAGCAGACAGAGCAGAGAAACAGCGGCTAGGTGGGTCACGTCTTGACAATCTGTGCAAAGCATACACCAGAGTACCAACAGCCAGCAGCAGCCAAGTGCATGATCGAGTATAATAAAAGCCCAAAGTTTGAATTGTTGAATGGGGCCATTTCATTAATTTGCCAAGCTTGCTCACTGGCCCAGCCTACCACGATAACATGCTTCCTCCACAGCAACGGCACTTTTTGTTCGGGGAAGTGCTGTTCCACAATGCAGTGGTGTTTCCTGAGATGGTCTCATTGTGCTACCCCTAATTACTAGTACATACATAAATTTGGTAGGTCATTAACCAATTTCGGCACAATAGGCACAACGTATAAACAAAAAAACACTTGAAAACAAATCTCCATGGTAATTAAAGAATGGCCCCGTAAACCTTGTAAAGTTTTTGTGTTGTCATTATATGTTACAAAGAGCTTCGAAGAAACAACAAACAGACACTTCAACTGATTTAGAGCACTTTCCCCCTCTCTCTCTAGGTCTTTATCAGCTGAAGTTATCTCACTGGCTGCTACATCAATAAGCTTTCATTCTTATTGGCTATTTTACGTACCGAGGAAGGGGTTGGTAGTGGTCAAAAGGGATGATCTGCTTGAAGCCATCACTGTTAGGAACAATAATGCGAACTCTCTGAGTGGAAGGTGTATACAACAAAACAGACACTAAATGATTACAGTACAAAACATCATTTACTTCTGTGACTTGAATTGTTCTTCTGTTAGAAATCTGACTAGAAAGCAAAAGGTTAAAGTTACATCTCTCATTCAATTCACTGTGTTCAACGCTTGTATTGTTTGGTCCAGGTTAAGAAGTTTTTGAATTTGATTGATGTGTTAAGAGATCTTTTTTCGTTCCCAGTAAAACATTCGGAGCAAATTTCGAATTGAGAAACGGCATAAAACATTTTAACATGCAATTTTCAGTTTCTTTCTGCTCTAAAGTGAAATGCAACAACTTTTCAACATACAGGTTACAGACAAATCTAAAACTGCCTCTGGACACTGGTAACAATCTTCAACCAGTCATGCGACTCTGAGTACGTGCTAACAGGGCAGAGATCAATGCATTTAATAATACAGACTAAACAGTGGTATTAACCTCTGACTTCAGTTGTCCAAGCTCAAATTCTTCAAAATAAATAACAAAGCACAATAGTACATCTTTTACTGCATTGCATTTGGGGCAAATGGTCTGTAGCAGAAAAATGTACTTTCAATTTAACCTCAGCCACTTTATTAAGGAGATAGTGTTAATGTGTTAATTACCACCATCTGGAAATTTGCAACAATTGTGGGCATCAAATGTAAGTTGGTTAAGATGTCCCAGCGAGTAAGATTTCCCAGTTTCCACCATTACTTTTCTTCAATAAGATCAGCGGCTAGTCTCCTGTCGATCCTTCTGTTAGTTGTGTATAATGAGATTCCCAATCTGAACTGGAGCCCATCTGTCTGAACAGTTTGTGATTTTTAAAAATTAAATATCTCTAATTCTTGCAGTTACAGTTTAGACATGGCTCCAATGCACACTCTTTCCCTAGAGGGATTCATCCTGCTTATCTAATCCCGGAGAGTTTTAGGTGCAGGTTGGCAAGAGCTCAGGGTATGTGTTGCAGTACTGCTGGAGTTTAACCAGCTAAAACCACATAGTTTGCAATTGAAAGCATTATCTTGTAAGCTTCTCATTGCATGTAAAGCTAGGACCACCTTACCCATTAGGGCCTTGGCTTGCAGGGTTAATGGGAGCTGAGTGGGGAGTGTCTGCACCCAGTGACCGGTCTACCCTCCTGCCAATGAGCCAGGCTGGCTGGGCTGTCATCAGCTGTGCCCTGGAATACTGGAGACCCGACTGGCTCAAGAATCGAAGTAACGAGAACACCACAGAGAGTTAACTCGATTCCGACGTTCTGTTGCCAAACATGTCAACCTGGAGCCAGCTCAATTGCCTGGAGGGCCAGTTCACCTCCCCCCCCCCACCCCTACCCTGAGAATGTTTTGATTGCTGGCATAGGAAGCAATTATCTTCAATGAAACACTAAGATGAGTTGTTTGTTTGCGTGGGGCTGATAAGGAACAAAAGCATCCACTTGAAAAAGATTTGTGAAAAGGGAAACCAATGACATAAGAATATGTCAAAGGTTTTGTTAAAGCATGCTTTTAATTTAATATTTACGAGAAAATACAGCCCATCTGCCAACACACACTCATTAAAATGTCTCTTAAAATGGACTGTGGATTTTTATTAGTGTAAACCGAACCTCCTGGTATTGTATAAATATAATATTTGAACTGATAGTGCTTACTAAATGCATGGTACTGACCTATTTTCTCTATTTTTAATCATGTTTTCCTTATTGTCTCCAGTGTCTGCTGACAACAGGAAGGAACAAGGTTCTAGCAAGCAAAGCTTGCACAAACTGACAGATCTGTTCAGAACTACTAATACTAAACACCTTAAGCTAGATCTTTTCAAAAGTCCAAGTAAAGGATTAGATGCTTCTTCATAACCAATCAATGCTCCACTACATGTCAAATTATGAAATTTTCTACATTACCCCGCGCCACTCACACACGCACACATGCATACATACACAAGCAGATACAATACTAAAACACAATACAAAATTACATTTGTAAAGCACCTTTCACGACGGGAGGAAATCCCAAAGCACTGAACAGTCAGGGATTAGGACCCGAGCTGGGGGGAACACATCCACACCCACACATAATACATTCATACACACATGCATGCACACATGCACAAACACACACTTATAAATACATGCATACATACCGATAGAGATGCACACCAACAGACACATACATACCTACATAAAGCATAATCACTGTTGGTTTGCAACAATAGAAATATATTATTGATGCTCTGTTATCAATCTAGATCCAATAAGATGTCCCATCTTTGAAAAAATATCTAAACATCTACTGAATTTGTTGTATTGGATGATAACTCATTAAATTAGTGGGATCCAGTGAAATTATTGCAAAATGACCAACTTTACAATTAGACATTGTTTATCTTTTAGTAGTCTTGTTACTTTGTACAATGCTTAGTAAAATCCTTAACTACACATATAAAAATGTATTGTGAATTAGTGCTTGTAAAGTGGTTCTGGTATTATAGAGAGCTTGTGCTCTGGTGTATTAGGATATTGGTTCACTCTCTTTATTCTCCATGGGGATGATTTCCCAATGTTATCCATTTGGAAGACCGAACCTGGACACCTGGCAAGACAACCAAAGCTAATCTCACATCACCTATCAGCAATTTATTGAGAAACATTGGTAAAATATGAATGGATAGACACAAAAATAGTCAATATTTCAGAATGGAACCCATTACATTTGATTACTGAGGGATTCAATAGAAGACTAAACAACTAGATATTACCACATTTCCCCAAATATAATTCAGCAGTAGATGCTATTGGCTTTAAGAGTAGAAAAATGCTCACAACAAATATCTATTAGTAGAAAAGGACTTACCTGGGAATGAAATTTTGTAGCAGTGAGCTGCAATAACGTACTATATTATTAATCAGCCTCAAACATAACTATAATTGTATCAACTGGTCAGCGCTTCTTATTTAAAGCAACTGTGTTGATCGAACCTGTGGTTATAATGTATAGTACAATATTTAATGAAATTACAACATTTATCATATGATGAGAATGGACAACTGAAAAACAAATGATTTTTTTTTCAATGATTAATTGAAATTTGAGATCTCATTGAATAAAGCTGTACTGTGATACTTCAGACATTCACAAGGTTACATGCGAGGTTCCAATGAAGAAAGCTGTGCAGCCTATGTGATCTCATCCCACCCGATCATTAATGATGGAAACAATTGTGCTGTGAGCAAATGCAACATATGAGTGAATAATATTTGTCAAAGCATTTCCCCCAAAGAAACACAACCTTTTCCAAGTGAAAAGATTTTGAAATCTTGAATGGTTATTACTTTGCAATAGTTATTACTTTGCAATAGTTATAACATTTCATTCCAGCTTGAGGTCAGATTATTTAAGGCTTTGTTGAATTTCAGAAACTATTATCATGACAAGTGTATGATATTGAAAGTGTTAAATACTGAAAGTGTTAAATGCTGTAGTTGGGTTAATCCAACACTATAAGATCGTCACTTCCTTGTTCTCTATTTAAATCCCAGAACTCTGTGTTGCCTGATGACCTTATCAGAAATTGGCTAACATTTGTTTTGAGCCTAAATTGCACTGTTTCTTAATAGATTTTTAATTGTTGAAATTCTAAAACATCAAATATTTTGAAGAGCCATTGAACATTCAATGTTGTAGAACCTCAATAATTATATATATCGTTAAAAAAACTGTTAGAGATATATTAATTTCTGATAGTGTGTATGTGTGTATGTACATATGTGTGTATTTATGTGTGTGTGTATAATTATGTGTGTGTATGTATTGCGTGTGTGTATGTATTGGTGTATATGTGTGATTGGAAGGGTGGGGGTGTTGTGTGTATTCTTTATAGCACATTATTCTCAAATCATCAACTCACTTTTAACATCTGAGTCACAAATGTATTTCTGAAACAATTTGCAATGCTTAATGCACAAACGTTTTTCTTGTCTCAAGTAAATGTGTCTCCGTGAAGTCTTTTATGAAGCTAACACACTTTATGTCAACAGTATCAGATGAGATTGTTCTGCTTAGAAAACAGTGAGAGGAACTAATGCAGAAACCAAACCCTGCTGTAACTTCAATTTGTTACAGCAAGAAACAGGAAAGGCTTTGTTGATTTTGGCTCATTCTCTTATCTCTCACTGTCTCTCTAGATTCAAATGTTTATTTGTACATTTGGTGTCCAACACGATATGAAGCACATCAACCTCACATTGTAAAGTAATGTGTTAATAGATGAACATTGTGATTTTGTATTGGATGGAAATGTTCAAGAAATGTTGCTTGCTGGTGCACATTAGTGGCTGAGATGCACTGACCTTGCTGGACACGGATCCATATTGCACTCCTGCAGTTTTGGCTTGGGCTTGATGTTTTCAGGGTAATAGTGACAGTACTGGTCTGCCACAACTTGCCTGCTTCGCAAGTCATAACACTCAGCAGACGTCAACTGGTACCCTGGCACACAGCAAAGGGGAAAGAAACATTTACAACATCAACAGAGCCACAGAAATGAATGCCACAGTTCCATTACGATCATCCAAGATGGCACTAGGTGTCATCCTGGTTCAGTTGGTAGCCCTGTCGTCTGAGTCAGAAGGCATTGCTGACACTCCAATGCACAATGCTGGGGGAGTGCTACAGGACTGAAGGAGCAGTCCTTCAGATGGGTCGTTAACCAAGGTCTCATCGACCTGTTCAGGTGGACATCAAAGATCCAATGGCACCTTTGAAAAGAGTTTCTCCCAGAGTATTGGCCAACTATCTCTCAGCTACAATTGGGTATTCACCTCATGGCTCTCTTTTCGATATTTCTACTCACAAATTGGCTGCAAGGGTTATTATTATTATAATCCCAATTCGCTGGACTCTATAAAGGCACTGCATGTGTTTGTCCAATTCTTATCAATAAACTGTACGTGAATATGTTGCTCCAAATATTTATGTTCTGTTAGTCCAGCACACCTTTGGCGAATCATGCATTTTAGGTGGAGGTTCAGCCAACATAAATTGCAGTAGAACCTTGTTCATAAGAAAACTGAAGGAGAGCTGTTCATGCACATTGCTGTTTGTGCTCACTGTAGTGACTGAGAATCACAGTGGGCTCGACCCACCATGGCCCATTGAAAGTTCTTTGGCAGTCCAATGAAATGCTTAAGGATTTTAAACAGACCAATTTGTAATACTATTGAAGATGGCATGACCTTTATGTACTCTTTATGTATTCTTGAATGTATTAAGGTGGGCATATAATAAAATGGGTATGCCTAACTGTGTATGTGCTAAAAACGGACCTAATCTAAAATGGACATATACTAAGATGGATATGAGAGAGAACTTGTAACAGGCATTTAACTTTTAACAGATGAATTGTGGAGCAGGAAGTTTAGCCAATCTTCCCACTCCACACTTTTCTATAGCCAGGAACATAGAAGCAGAGGAATAAAGAGCACTGGAACTGATCATGGCTGTCTATCAGACTGGTCCCAAAGTAAAATAAAATTCTAAATATAATGAAGAATCCAACATAAACACAGCATGAGTGACATTGCTATTATCTAACCAGTAACTAATATTAGCATTATATTATATCTATTTTCAAAGAGGAAGAGGAACAAAAAACAGTTGCATAGTCATGGTTACCTCCACTACAGGTCACAGAGCAAGGAAAGAAATCTGTTTCCCTCCACTGATGGATGATGGGCTGATAAAAGAGATATTGCACTGAACTGTCCGCTGTACCTGCATATTGTATCTGCAAAAGACAAGCAAAAAGTAATCTTCAGGCAATGCTGTAACCAACGATTTCTGTATAACATATACACATGCCATCTACACATGCAAATATTCCTGTGTCTGGATTCGAATATGCACTCTCTCCCCTGAGAGCGAAACCCTGCTCTCCTAAAGCTAGAGAGTATTCGGCATAAGTTGGAAAAAGCCAAGGCTTGTGGATCGCAGAATGTTGGGGTTTGGAAGGTTAACAGGAGTCAAGTAGGATGCATTCCTGCCCCAGTCACTGGTCTGCTCTACCAAGTGCTGCTGATGAGCCAGGCTGGTTAGCTTATCATCAGCAATGGCCTGGAGCACTGTGGACCTGTCATTCTCAGTAACTGGGACCACAGAGACGACCACAGAGGGCTAACTCAATTCCAACATTCTGTTGTCAAGTACATCACCTTGGACTCAACTCCAAGAAGGCTCCACTTACCACCACCTCTCCTTCTCCAGGTTAGTCACCAGTCATTTGACATCTGACGAGCCGAAGGTGGAAAGCAGGTATGGTACCAGGAACTCCCTGGGGAAATTTCTAGATGAGATTGTTTTCTCACTGTACATTTTATTCAACAAGAGTCAAAACTCAGCTCTACAGAACAAAACAATCCCTCAGAGTAATTACACTTTAGCTCTTGTGGCAGCATATAGACGTTTAAAATAGGTGTGCAGCGGCCAACTGTAATGCCCTACCCCTGCCATCTGGTTTCAGCTAACTCAATATAGACATTGAATTGAAGCCATATTCTAATGCTGTACTGGACAATGCCTTTACATACAAGGCAATTGAAGGAGCATTCTTTTGCTTCCTGTCACTTGATGCTTTCATGATATGAGGGGACCTGGATAGCAAATCATGCGATGGTGTGGGTAAGGGTGTTTGCCATTCAAGATACTGAACTTGAATAGAATATTTGTGGAGGTGAAGTGCAAAAACCTAGATGGGATTCGGTTTTGAAAAAGTGCATTGCAAATTACTTTTCAAACCATGCCATAATTTGAACTCTTAGATAGAGTTACTGTTGCTCTGAGATAGATATTATTCTATTACTGCTAATAGTATGCTGACTCAAAGCGTATCTGAATAGTCGGCAGAATTTTGGGAAAGTCACTAATTCATTTAAGCTTCTGGAACACAAGTGAAGTCTCCTGTTACTTTTCTTAAGTGGCTTGCAAGTGTACATTTTTTTGACATGATGGGCAACTTCCTAAACCTCTCTGAGGAATGCCCTTTTAAAATACAGACTTTATATAACCCTTTCCTCCCTGAGCAAATCAAAACTTCCCAATGGTTGCAAGATTGAATACTGAGGCCCGTCCTTCAAAAGTATGCATTGTTACCCCACTGCTCTGGCTTCATTCCCACTTCTGTCACCATACCTACAAAAAGCATCACTGGAAGCCATTTGTAGAACACTATTTCTCATTAAAATAGGTGTAACTATACATAGGGGGCAAATACACGTCACCATGCTTGTCAATCAGACTCCGAGTCTAAACTCAATCTAATTGGCAACATTGCTGCAGAAATGTTTGGAACCTTACTGGCCGTAATACTCAAAATATGTAATTTCTATCAGGGAGGAGGGCTGCAGGTGATTACAAATATAGGGTGAGACAAGGCTATCGAGTCATTGTATGTCAGAACACTAGTGATGTTGGGAGTCAAAGCCTGAAGCAAAAAGGTTGAGTTAAGAAAGTAAAGAAGAAATTTGCATTTTTATAGCATATCAAGGGTGTCAACTGGGCTCAAAGGTTAGCACTCTCATGTTTGGGTCGGAAGGTTGTGGGTTTAAGCCCCATGTGGGAATTGACCTCGTAGTCGAGGCTAACACTCCAGTGTAGTATTGGGGAAGCACTGTATGTTGGAAGGACTTTAAAAATTCAATGAGACTATTTGAAAATTCTTTTCTTGAAAAACAGAATTTCTCCTAGTATCCTGGCCGGCAGACCTCCAGGTAACTTGGCAGTTGTTTGTGGGATGTCGTGTCTGCCTACAAATACACAGTCACTAGATTTTGAGACATTTTTTTGTCATAAGCGCTATACAAGTACAAGGATTATTACAAATAGATAGCTAATTACTAATAAGTAGCATTACAAAATTTGTTATTGAGTAAACAGCAAATAATAATAATTATTGCATTTGATATAACACCTAATCACACTGTTGAGCGGTATCAAAGCACTTCAAGAGATTTTACTGTGCCTGTGTAATTGAAGGCAAACAGTGGCAAGAATAAGGAAAAAGATAGCAATGAAAGGAATTGGGACTGAACAAACAAATTCACTCAGAAATGTCGGATGGATTTTAATGTGGATGAAGTTACAGTAATGCACATTGGAACAGGAAACAAGAAACATTTGGATATGATGAAGAGACGTCCTTTAGCAAAGTTGAAAATGGATTTTAGCAGACTCATTTATCACTCGCTGAAAGGTTCCAGTCAATGCAAACCTGCTATCAATAATGTCTAACAACATATTGGATGCACCTCAAGGGTATTTGATTATAAGTTGAAACAAGAATCCTAACCTTGTGTGGACTTTATTGATTTGGAAAACTGTGTGAGATTTTGGCAATTCTACCTTCAAAAGGACAGTGATGTATTAGAGAAGAGCAAAGAACAAAAACGATGAATCCAGGGAGACAGGAATTTCCCCCCACACACTCCGGCATTCTGGATGGATGACTGACTAAGTGATGCCTTTACAATTTGTTGACATCAAAGCCAAGAGAAATGCATGTGTTTTTGTGAATTTGCTGGGTGGTGCAATAATAAAGGTCAATCAGGAAAATGCGGATTCAAAACACTGTGGCTTTTACCAACTAATATAACATGAAAAAGTTTTTGTTTTCAAGGTGACTGGGGTTTGCTTTGTGGTTTGTTAGATAATAAAAATAACAACCAATAAAAATATAGTGCCTTACAGGTCAAATAAACAAAATGCTTACAAAATATTATAATAATAATGCTTGCGTTCCACTGCATGCCAGGATGATACTTATAATTGATTTATAACATTAACCAATACTGGTTAATATTATAAATCATATTAAAACAACAACAAATTGCACTTATATAGCACCCTCCACACAGGGTAGCACCTCACACTGTAATAATCTAAGTGATTTGAAATGAAAGTGACTATTGTTTTAAAGTTATAAAGATAAAATTAATGGACTGACTAAAATCTAGCCAAATTATTCATCTAATTACTGTGTGGACATCACTGGTACAGATTATTACAGGCAGTTTTTCACGCAAAAGGTAATGGAAATCGGAAACTCTCACCCCCAAAAGGCTGTGGATGCTGGATCCCTCAAGGGATATGGGGCAAGGGTGGGTAATTCGAATTGAGGTACTTGTCAGCCATATCCGCTGCACACCTATTTTAAATGTCTAGATGCTGCCAAAAGAGCTGAAGTATAATTACTCTGAGTGATTGTTTTGTTCTGTAGAGCTGAGTTTTGACTCTTGTTGAATAAAATGTACAGTGAGAAAACAATCTCATCTAGAAGACAGACTTTAAATAAACCCCTAGCTTACTGGATTCCACGTATCTAGAATCCATCGATCCCCCTTCGATCCAGCTGGTTGGGGTTTCAGTGTATATTGAATTTTAGGCACCGGGTAGAGGAGGTCACTCTGCAGAGGACTGAGCTGGTCCCAATAAGTGCCCCCAAAGAAGGCGACTTACTGAGCTCTAACATACCCAAGAATCTTTAAGCAAAGGCAGGCTCACTATAAATCACAGTACAGTTCATCCAAGGAGGAATCAGGCTCCAAGCACACCCACTCTAAACAAGTCAGGCTCTACAATTCCAGTGAATGCCTGCGGAATAGCAACAATCTGCACTGGAGGCAAGATGGCTTGTGCCCTCCCAATGGTAAAGCCTTGCTGCCTTGCAGAATGTCCATACAGCCTGAGTAGGGGTCCTCAGTCTAGATGACTTATGTCATGGGGGAGCCTTGAGCCCAGAAAGTTTGTGAACCCTTGGACTAGATGGACCGATCACCAACGGCTAACTGAAATTGGGGAGGACAAGTTTGCAGGGCTATGGGGAGAGAGTGCGAGAGGGGATTGATTTGGATAGCTTTTTTAAAAGAGCTGGCACAGACACGATGGGCCTTCTTTGCTGTATAAATCTATGATTCTATGAATTGTCACTGTTACTAGATATGAATCCAAAAGAAAGTAAAATGTCCAAAAGACACAACATTTAAGAATAAAATATTTAAGTTAATGCTTAATCTGTGGTCAAAGTGGCTCCCATATTTGAAACTATCGCTTGAATGAAAGTGTTACCTTAACAGTAAAATCTGCACCAAGAGGGCCATTTGTTCTCAGTATCTCTTTCTCTGGAAGTTTCTGATACTCCAGACTGGTGTTTTCAATGTTTAAGGCTCCAGGAACACTGAGGTCATTTTCTCCCTTCTGACCAAGCAGGGTCTTAGTTTCCAAATCTGAAAATACAATAAAGATGCAGTGAACTTTCAATCACCACTTTTGTACAGCAGAGAAATTCAAAGTAATACTGAAAATGCAGCCATTTACTGATTCAAAAAAATAACTTTTCACAGTACAATATCATGAACTTATAAAGTATTTCCTGAACCTGTACTTGGGGTAGACAGTAACTGTAAGACTGTTGATCAGTTATTGTACAGTTAACATCTTATTGCTATAGATCAGTAACTTTACTGCTGCCACCAGGCTTGTCAAACAGTTTCAGGCCTTGGAGGCCAGATGAGTAGATAAGCATGAACCATGGGGTTGGTTAAACTGGTTTCCTTGAAATTGGTGGCATCACTTCCAACAAAATGGTCACCACCAATGCTTCTCCCTGTGAAAATGGCCATCTCTGATTTCACCTCCTGTGTGAGCAGGAAAACCCACAAACAGTTTTGTAGTTCACGGGACCCCATGTTATAAGCAACTCACGCACAATTATAACAGGGTCGTGCTGTATTTAGAAGTTGAAGGACTAGGCAGTGATATCTCTTTGATGCTGTGTGAGTACAATGTCAGGTTACATTGCCTGTGGTGAGTTCACCTTCAGGAGTGAGTTCCTTTGTTTCTGTGTCAATGTAGACTGGAAGGAAGACCGTGATTTTCACCAATGAGAACAGTTTCTCACACAAGCACAAACTCAAACACGATGCCACATTGCAGAAAAGATGCAAACTTTGGCAAACCAATGGCAGAGATTTTTTTTTAGCTCTGTATTACAATGTAGTTCTATTAATTCCATTAAGTGAGCTAGTAGATTGTCCACCTCCATGGTAAAGGGAAACCCAGGCAAAGGGAATTCTATTTTCTGCGCTTCAAAATCTCAGAAACATCTGGAGAACTCAATTCAGATATAGTAGATGTATGCAGAATGTTGGTTGCCATTTGGAAGAAAGCCAGGAAATTTGCTGGCAAAAGTAGTGGAATTGTACGAAGTTGATTTTTTGCAGTCGTCTGTCCCACAAATGAAGTTTCAAGTCAAATGCACGAGCATTGTCATACAGCTGTGAAACAAGTTCATTTTACTTTTGAAGACATGTTCAGTCCATTTTAGTGCATGGTCAAGGCCACCTGAATTGCCATATTGTAGAACCAATTTTCATCTGTCAATTTGGCTACATTGTAACTCTAGATCAGTTACTGTACAGTTTACACTGTAATACTGAAGATCAAGCACTGCATGGTTTCACTAACACTGTAGATCAGTTAATGTACAATTTACACTGCAACACTGAAGATCACGGTTTACACTGTGTCAATCAGTGACTTTGGAGGTTACACTGTAACACTGTACATCAGTTACTATACAGTTTACACTGTGACATTGTGTATCAAGTTAATTTGCATTTTACACTGGCAGATAGAATCAGACACATCAAATTACTTAAGAGTATCCAAGCCAAGCATCCCACCTACACATAAAAATTCCAGAGATAGATTGTTGGAATGGAAAGTGCACTCTCTATCTGGAAGGCCACAGATGTTGGTTGGTAAGCCCACAGTGTGTGTTGGGGTACTGTTGGAGTCTAACCAACTAAAATAATAATAATAATAATAAGCCTTGCATTTGATATAATGGCTTATCATGTCTTTGAGACGCCTCAAAGCGCTTCACAGAAAAATCATGTTGCTTGCCTTTGAAAGCACTGTCTGGCAAGCTTGTCTAGCTAGGAGCACTCTACCCATTAGGGCTTTTGCTTGCAGGGTTAACAGAAGTCAAATGGGAAGAATCCTTGTCCCCAGTGACTGGTCTGCCGTTCCAATTTCTGCCGATGAGCCAGCCTATCTGTGCTGTCATCAGCAGTGCGCTGGAGTACTGCAGACCCGCCTGGCTTAGGAACTAGACTACCAAGACCACCACAGAGAGCTGGCTCAATTCTGACATTCCAGTGCCAAACATGTCACCTTGGAGCCAGTTCAGTTCCAAGTCAATCAACCCAAATCTACCACTGTCACACACGTCAACATTAAAATACAGAAAGAATCATTCTGCTCTCACAACCAGCAGCAAATGGGATCATAAAAAAGAGAGGCCGATGTATGTTTCAGCAGATGTTACATATAGATATCACAGGCTTCACTTCAACTTGCAGATTGTTTCTGATTATTGGTAAATGTTTTCCATTACATCATTAAGGATGATCTCAAAAATATGGCAACAAACAGAAGAGTTAAAGAGTTTCATTCCTAAAAATCTGTGTCTACTTACACAGATGGTCCGGGCCTTTGAGCACAATCCTGATGTGCCGACTTCCATATGGAATAGCAATGACAGTGTCATCCACTGGGAAAGAAATATTAAGAATTAGACTTTTTCTGGAAAATCAATCTTAGCGAAGTGCAGGTAGTGTGACTTCATGATTCTGCTTCGAACATGTTATTGGATTCAATTACAGGGTAAAATTTGTGACATTTCTAAGAAGCAATGTGATAAAAACAGATTTGCACAGTTCCATCTTTTCCTGAACAATGACCGTGGAACTGAACATTGCCTCTTCTCTTCAGTCTGACTCGCAACTGTGATTTAATTCAGCTCCATCTTACCAGACATCTCACCACTAGCCTGGCTTCAATGTTAATTCTGAAACAGTATTTGTTCACTGTTACATAGGACAATGTCTGGTATAGTTCAGTGGCCTGTTTTTTTGTTTTGTTTTTTAACTCGCCTCAAATGCCAATATCCACAATTGGGGGCAGTGTCGGAGCAGAAACATTCTATTGACAACCAATACAGTGTGACAATCGAATGGGTTATGAAATATTGTGAATGTAACCCCATTATAATAATGATATAGCTCCTTATCATGTCTTTGAGACATCTCAAAGTGCTTCACAGGATGTACTGTAAAGTGTAGTGACTGTGTATTTTGTGGGCGAAACGCGGCAGCCAATTGCACGCAGCAGTGTCCCACAAACAGTCGTGGATTGAGTGACCAATTTATGATTATTATTTTTGAAGGGATTATTACCCCCAGAAAAGCTATCTGCCAATTGACTAACAAGCGGGTTCCTGCTTACTGTTTGTATATTCTGCGATCCAGTCTAATCAATTCATCCTCTCCCTCTTTTCTCCCTTGCTTCAGCGTTTTGATTCAATCTTCAATTCCAGCCTGTATCTGTCTTAAAACTTTTCCCAGACACAAGCTCCCATTTGTGCCAGCAATAGGAAGACAATTACGCAAAGATGTCTGGCAGACTCCAGCCTTTTAATTAGGCAACTTTCCACTTTACTGCGTCTCCTGTTTTTTTGTGAGGGAGGGGGAGAAAGAGGGGGAGATCGAGGGGGTTGTGCTCTCTCTGCCTATGTTAACCTCTTACTGTTTTATGGACTTTCTATTAGGCACCTACAAATGTTTGCATATGTTGTGCCTTTATTTCCAGGCCTTATAAACAAGCTGTGCTTGTTCACCTAACCACATCACAGATTGGACTCTTTTGACATGCACTTACAATAGGAATATTTGGGACAGAGACTTCAACACACTTTCATTCCTCCTCAGCCAGGAGTCCTGTAGCTTAGTGGTGAGAGCACTCGCCTCGCAAACAAGAAGACCTGGGTTCAAATCCCAGGCAGGGCAAAAGCAGTAAATTGGAACCCGGTTATTAGTCGATTGGCGGATATCAAAAAAATAAATTAATAATAATTTGGTCACTCAATCCAGGACTGTTTGTGGGACACTGGTGTGTGCAATTGGCTGCCGCATTTCACCCACAAAATATACAGTCATTTCACTTTACAGTATATTCTGTGATGCGCTTTGAGGCGTCTAAACAACGTGATAAGGTACTATATCAAAGGCCAGGATTATTATTATAAGGAGCAGAAGCTAGTAAAAACAACACAGCGGCACACTATTATTACTGCCTGACATCAGCTCAGCCATGATTAAAATCTCACTTACTCAAAGTCAATCCTGGTTAGATGTGGCCTCTTGGCTGTGGGATTTGGGATAAGTGCCTTCTTCAATAGCCTTCAGCAAGGCCTTAACAAGGTAAATGGATGCAATTTCATCAATTGCCCTAATTTTTTTTTACAGGAGGTGGAATATTGAGCTGCTGGTATAATTGCTGGAATTCCATGCCTATTTAACTGCAGTTATACAGAGCTTTCTGAAAACGGAACCTGTCTTAAAAACTCAGAGGCTATGAATGAGGTGCAGAGTTTTATGGAGAGTTCCAGAGAACAGGTGCAAAGAAGCTGAAAGCTCACCCACCAAAGCAGGCCTGAGTTGGTGGAGCAGAGAGAGTCAATGGGACCACAGGAGATCACAAAGAAAGAGTTAAATGAGCATGCAAAGGGAGGAATTTGGATAATAACAATAATCCTTGCATTTGGTACAGTGCTTTTCACGTTGGGAGGACGTGAGGGTTAGGGTTAAGGTTAATATCATTGGAGGACATCGCAAAGCTTCTCAGAGGATAAACTGAAAAGTGAAATGACAGTGTGTTTTGTTGAGATCTTAGCAACTTGGGGTGGGGGGGAGGTAAGCGAGGTCTCCTTGGAACTAAACTGGCTGACAGCACGGCCAGTCTGGCTCATCGGTAGGAGCTGGTTTGACTCCAACAGTACCCCAATGCATACTCAAGCCTTGGCTCTTGACAACCTGGGCCTAATACTTTCCGGAATTAGGTAAACAGGATGCGTCCCTCATTCCAACTATTTATATCTGGGATTTCCATGTGTAGGTGGGAAGCATGGAAATCTCAACTTGGTTTGGATTTTCTTAAGCATAGTGATGGGTTTCCACATGTGTCGTTACATGTGGCCGACCAAATATTTTTTCTTTTAAAAAATTGTAACTTGAGGAATCTTTCACCAATCTTTTGATTATCAGGACCAAATTTATGTGCTTAGTTCAAAGGAAAACCTAATCACCAGATTATCTAAGGAGCTACAAATGCATAAATCTCATTTTTAGCTTTCTGGCGGTAATAATCCCTTCAAAAAAAATAATAATTTGATCACTCAATCCACAGCTGTTTATGGGACACTGCTGTTCATAATTGGCTGTCATATTTCATTCACCTAATATACAGTCAATTCACTTTACAGTATATTCTATAAAGTGCGTTATGTCATGTTGAGATGCTATATGAAATGCAAGGATTATTATTATGAAAATGGCTGATTGCATTCTTGGCATTTCTCCCAGTTGTCTATTTTATAGATGAATCAATATATTAGAAAGAGGACAAAAATAACTTGCATTTGTATGCAGCCATTCACCTAAACGAACACTTGAAAGCGTTTGACAAACAGCACTGGATCCTGAGCAATGAAATTAGAAAGTTAAAGATGCTAACCAAAGAAATATGTTTTTTTTGTGGAAGGATTTTCAAGACAGGGAGACAGGAAGTGAGACAAAGTCATTTCAGAAGAGAGTACAAAAAAACACAGACACAGTGGCTGAAGATTCAGCCATCAAGAGTGGAGCAAAGAGAATGGGAATAGTTCCACAAAGAGTCAGAAAAGTGGTGTGTGGAGGCCTTAATGCAAGGATGGAAATTGTTGCATTGGTAGAGACATGAAAGGCACCTAACAAATGTAATTTGTTGTTGTTGTGTTGTTATGGGGCGAGACTACCAATGCAGGGATTTGAAAACTGGGACAAGGATCTTAAGCTTGATGCTCTGAGGTTTTGCCAATGGAGGCTGAAAATAACACGAGTGTGGATCTCGCATAGAAGACAATTTGAGCTATAGATGTTTGGATCAGTTGAAGCTCATCTCTTTATATTGTGCACCTGAAGTGAGCTGAATGTCAAAGTTACAAAACCCACTATAGGCTGAGTGAGCAGTCATGGAGTTTGATGTAATCAGAACCGAAGTTGTTGCTGAGAACCAAACACATTGGATTCAGTCTTGTAGATGTTCAGACTTGATGCAAGAAAAACATCCTGCAATGGAGGGTGATGGCGATAGTGGTGGAGAGGTAGAGTTGGGCATCATCAGTTTCCATATGGATTTCCATATGTTTGAGGATGATGTTACCAAAGGGCAGCGCCAAATACTCCTTTGTTTAATATGGTGCCTATAATGTTCAAATGACTCAAAGCACTTCATTTTGCTGTCAAATGCAGTGTGTACATGTAGGCAAAAACGGCAGCCAATTTAAGCACACCAAGACCCAACAAGCTTTGAAGAGGATAGTGATAATAATAATCTTTGCATTTGATAAAGCGCCTTTTAACGTCTTCGAGATGACTCAATAATCAAGTTAACTGGGGGATCATTGGTCAGGATCACTGAGAGAAACTCCATTCTCTTTTCAAATAGCGTCATGGCATCTTTAACATGTACCTGAACAGGAGATGGGACCCTAGTTTAACACTGCTTTGACAATCTCTCTCTAGTACTATACTAAAACGTCAGCCTAGATAATGAACTCAAAATCCCCATGCGGCGCTTGAATCCACAATCTTTCGACCCAGAGACAAAAGTGTCACCAACTGAGCCAAACAAGTACTCTGTAATGAGAAGCTAGTTTCCGATGGCTTGTTACTCAGATCTTGACACAAATCTGGAAAGCTGAAGCTCATTCCAGCTGAGGTGATCAGATGTCACTTTGTTCTGAGAGCACAGGGAGATGGTTTCTCAATAGACTCAGGTAATGCTTACATTTGTTCGCTGACACTTGAGATTTGTACTGTCCACGGACGAGCCTGCATGTGGAACCATCGCCACTGCAGACGCCGCAGTTATCTTCCTTGGCGCTGCTTCCCAGCTGGTGATCACAGCCAACAACCTGCCAGAAACAACATTGTGTGGGAGACTGTTAGTTCAGTCTGATTGCATGTTTTACCTGCACTGTAGAATGCAGATAGATTACTGCTTTGACAATCTCTAAAAAAACGTCCAGTCTCCAATCCCAGATGCTTACACGTGTTGTACCTTTGCTGCGATGTGATCCTGGCATAAACCAACATCACATCGCAGCAAAGGTACAACATATGTACGCATCTGGGCTTGGAGACTGGACATTTCCCAGAAAAGTGTATACAGTAAGTGTATACAGTACATAAATCGTACCAGTCGGGACCGTAACATTTAATACGACTTAGGCAAAGTCCAAGTTGCAGGCAAACTGTACAAGTCACAGAAAATCCAATTTACAACAACAACAAGATGACATTTGTATAGTGCCTTTCACATCAGGAGAACATCCCAAGGCGCTGGACAGTGTACATCATTTCAGACCCGAGCTGGGACCAGAGGGGGAGAAGGGAGAAGGGAGGGGAGGGGAAGGGGGGTGGCCGATGGCATGGTCGAAGTGGAGGGTTTTGAGGTGGGACTTGAAGAAGGTTAAGGAGGGGGTGAGGCGGAGGGATTGGGGGATGGAATTCCAGAGGTTGGAGGCAGAGTGGTTGAAGGCTCTCCGCTATGGTGGGGTGGAGCAGGCTGGAGCCGGTTGAGCGGAGGGAGCAGGCGGGTTGGTAGGGGATTAGGAGGTCACAGAGATAGGGTGGGGCGAGGCCATGGAGGGCTTTGTAGGTGAGGACCAGGATCATGAACTGGATCCTCTGAAGGATAGGGAGTCAGTGGAGTCGGGCAAGAGTGGGGGAGATGGGGTCACTGAGTTTGGTGCGGGAAATGATATGGGCTGGAGAGTTCTGGATTATCTGCAGCCTGTGGAGGGAGGAGTTGGGAAGGCCGACAAGCAGGGCATTTTAACCAACAAAATACATTGTGAATGTACAATGTAATGAAGCCGGTAAGTACACATGCGGTGATGGGTCAAAATTACATTTTGCAACTCAAAGGGTCTTGACACTTCGCCGCATGTGCATTTATTGGCAAGCATTGGAATTACATTGAATCGCAGGGAATGAAGTTCTTCTGCGTAGGTGTGCATGTGTCAAATGGTTAGGTGGCATTTCCAATGACTCCAGGCAGTTGGTAATTGAGGGAGTAATGGAGGGTACCTAAGCGACCATTCCAAGTTAAGAGGTGTTTAATGCGAGTAGTCTAAGTGATTTTGATAGGAAACTGAATGGGCCTTGGGTGAATGTACGACTTGGGCAATTATAAGATTTATAAAGATAAGACTTATGCGAGTTTTACTGTATAACAGAACCTTAGCTTTCAGGTAATCCAGAAATAAATAACACTGAAGAGAGGCTCGGTTCTTCTCAATTACCACATAATCAATAAATGTGACAATGGTAAAAGAACATAAAAAATAGGAGCAGCAGTAGGCCATTTGGCCCCTAGAGCCTGCCCCGCCATTTAATAAGATCATGGCTGATCTTCTAACCGAATTCCATCCTGTAGCTCAGTGGTTAGAGCACTCGCTTTGCAAGTGAGAGACCTGAGTTCAATTCCAGGCAGAGGGCGAAACCTTGGGCAAGTTTCCTTACTCCACACGCCTAATAATAATCCCTCCAAAAACAAAGCAATAATAAATTGGTCATTTTCAATCTACGACTGTTTGTGGGACATTGCTGTGCGCAATTGGCTGCCGCGTTCGCCCACAAATATACAGTCAATTCACTTTACAGTGTGTTCTGTGAAGCGCTTTGGGACGTCCTCCCGACGTGAAAAGCGCTATATCAAATGCAAGGATTATTATTATTATTATTATTATTTACCCGCCCTATCCCCCAAATCTATCGATCTCAGTCTTGAATATATTCAAGAACTGAGCATCCACAGCCTTCTGGGGATAGAGAGTTCCATAAATTCACTACCCTCTGAGTGAAGAAATGTTTTCTCAACACAGTTCTAGGGAAACAATCTCACAATATCTATCCTGTCAAGATCCTTAAGAATCTTATAGGTTTCTATAAGATCACCTCTAATTCTTCTGTATTCTAGAGAATATAGGCCTAGTTTACTCAACCTCTCCTCATAGGTCAACCCACTCATCCCAGGAACCAACCTAGTGAACCTATGTTGCACCCCTTCTAAGGCGAGTATATCCTTTCTTAGAAAAGGAAACCAACACTGCACATGTTTTTCATAGCAGTATTCTTAATAAAAAATCTTTATTATAAGAAATCTCAGTCGTGGAAATTGGGATTGTTACCGGGTTACTGGTTCATCGTGTGACTTTGGGGAAAGTCCGCTCTTATGTGGTCTGCTTTCAAAGGATGGCATCTGTAACAATGTGGAATTCCTCTGGTACAGCACTTAAGTGCCAGTTTAGCCTTGAGGACTTGAATCCACAAACTTCTGATCCAGAGGCAAAAATGCTACCAACTAAGCCAGGCTAACATTCGAATCAAGACAGATTTGCAGCGAGTCGTCATGACATACGTCCTGTTGCTAAAAGGAGTCCTAACTTGAATTCCTTAATCTAGAAATCCTGTTAGATATCATCGCAAGTTATATCCCACTGCGTGTTCAGCAGACCAAAAAATATTCCTGGATAATTTATGTTTGCTTTATTCTCACAGGAATGAGTTGCCTTGAATTGAAAGTGCCCACAGAGATGCAATTATTTGCAATATCCACATTGCATCTCAGCTGAGTAACCTCTGTGCACTCACTGTACACATACGCTACTTATTATTTACAAGCCTCGAATATGTGCACTCACTCTATTAATAAGCAGACTAAAAACAGCACCAGGGATCCATAAACACACCAGGAAAACAATCTGAGAGGCCAGAAATTCCACCTAGTTTTAGCCTGGTAAGACTGTAAAATTTAAAATGCTGCAGAATGTTGGGGAAATCTTAAATTCAGTCATATATAATAATCCTTGCAGTTGATGTTTTATATATAATAATCCTTGCATTTAATCTTTATCATGTCATTGAGATGCCTCGAAGTGCTTCATTTGGCAGCCCATTTGCACACCATAATGTCCCACAAATAGCCATTAAGTGAAAGACCAATCAGGGGATTGTTGGCCAGAACACTGGGAGAAACTTGATACTGAAACTGGTTTTACATATTTCTTCAAGAAATCGGATTCCAAAATAAGACAGAATTTAAGAATTTTCAACAATTCTGTGTGATCTTCCTTTATTAGACGATGGTCTTGCAGGCTAAGACTTGATGGTATTCCAGACCTCTGAACTCTTTCTGCCAAGTTATTGTAGCTGCAGAATATTTTATAAATGACACCAAAACACAATAGCATCTAAAGGTGCATTGCCAATGGTAACCGTTACCCCAACTGACCCAGGCACACCTCCCTCCCTACTGGAACAGATTTTTCTGTGAAAATATGTGGAAAAGAGATGCATTGATAAGTTTACAGTGTTTGATTGTATCTATGCAAAATTAATTGTTCACAAAATCACTGGGCGAAATATTATTTGAACAAACATTTCCTGAATTACTTAAAGACATGAGATGTGTAGTGGATATATTTTATAACTTTCATCTCAAGAAAGATTACATACACAAAACAACTGCTTCTCTGAGGTTATGTTTGGTTCAGCCATTTCTCAGTTTCTTACTAAAACAATGAGTTTGCGGCAATCATTATAAATCCAAAAATGCTGAGGAAGAAATCCTGAGCCCATTTCTCCCTCCAACTTGACTAAATAGGAGCCAAAAACTGCATCAAGTTAGAGTGACAGACTAAATTGCAAAGTGTAATTTACACTTTGTCAAATGGCACTCTGGAGGGCCTATTAAAAAAAGAAAAGTGCTATAAAGTCCAGAGTGACTTTTAAATACTAACGTCTCTCCCTCAGAGAGATTACCAGTTTACAGCAGATTTAAGATGTCAACTTTAGAGGCATTTTAAGTCAGGGAGTAGCTCTTGGAGACCAAAAGGGAGCTATTATCCACACTGTTACTCTGGAGAATGTTAGGAGTAATTGCAGATGATCGCGATTATGGAGGTATTCACTCCTGATAGAAATCAGTTTGACAGTTTTAAAACCACAAAATAATGTGACCATGGATCGGCTGAAATCAATCGCTCATTGTAAAAATAAAGAACGTGTTGCAGTGATTATTACCACGGGAATTAGTTGGCTTTCATTATTATTGCATTTGATCAAAAACGGGTAAAAGACTGGAGGAAAAGCAGACAAGGGGACACAGAGCAATGCCTGGATTTTCCACTCACAAGCAGAAGTAGGTAATACCAATGAAAAAGGAGAGTTTCTTTTGCACGTTTATACGGGCTATTGATCTAAATAACCTGCCAGCATGAAAGGAAGAGAGAGTGAGCTTTGAGACGTCGGCCTGACATAAAAGGCAATATAAATGTAACTTATATTTTAAAGAGAAAGAAAATGATAAATGATAAGCAACCGTACATATATTTTTTCTGTTTGAAGGCAGTTAGTGTCCAGGTCTGGCAACATGCCTGGCAATGGAATGTCAGAATCGAGTCAGCCCTCTGTGGCGGTCTCAGTAGTCTGGTTCCTGAGCCTGGCGGGTCCGCAGTATTCCAGGGCTGCTGATGATAGCACAGCCAGCCTGGCTCATTGGCAGGACCTGGAAGGGCAAACCAGTCACTGGGGGCAGGGAGACATCCCACCGAGCTCCTGTTAACCCTGCAAGCCGAAACCCTAACAGGTAGAGTGGTCCTAGCTGGAGAAGCAGATGGAAAGCTAGCCGGACAGTAATATCAATGAGTTTTATCTGGTTAGACTCCAGCAGTACCCCATTGTACACTCTGGGTTCCCCAAGTTTTGGCTCTACCCAACCTGCATCTAATACTTTCTAGAATTAGGTAAGCAGGATGCGTCCCTCCATGGAGAGAGTATGCATTTCATTCTAAGACATAGGGATATTTCCATATGCATGTGGCATGCCTATTTGGTACTCACAATCTGGTTTGGGTACTCTTAAACATGGTGATGGGGTTCCCACGTGTCAGATACCTGGCTGACCAAAACGAAATTTAGACCATTCTACTAAGTAGCACCAGAATGAAACACACACTTTTAAATCAATGTGTTGAGACATTCTTTCTAAATGATCTCTCATATTAATATTTTACACAATCATGATGTCTGATTCCAGTGGGGATAACAATCTAGGGATAGAAATTGCATTTGTGCTAAGTTTTGTTCTATTTTCTTAGCATTTCAGAGTGCACAGAATTTGGCAAATTCTCAAATATACTACTTAATTTTGAAGACACTTTTATGTAAGTGCTTTAAAGAAACTACGGAAAACCGATTTCAAAGTTGAAACTAAATTGAAAACATTTACCAAATCGAGAATGGTCTGAAATGCTAAGAAAAATAAATAAATCTAGATCCAGGTGGAATTTCTCCCCCAAATGCATTTACCAGGGAGCCAGGCATTATATATATGCATAGCAGGGGATTGGTGAAATTAAATAGGACAATCCCTCAATTTCATTACAATGCATTTCAAAGCAGGTTAGCAACGGCCTCAATTGGAAAATCCCAAAATTTGTGGAGGATGTTAAGAAAAAAGGAAAAGGTAAAACACTCCAGATGATAAATAGCTTTGATGGGCATTACAGAGAGCAGAAAGACGTTAAGTAATGACATAAGAAGGAAGGAGCAAATAATCGTTTTACTGATCAAACATTAATGCTGTAACATATTATTCTCAGCAGTAACGCATCATTGGCATGCTGCCTGCTGTAACATAGGACACTCATAAATGGCAGAGCTACTTACTCGACAGTTCCCACTGATGCACATGTGCAGTGTTTCTGTGTAACATCGTGTACCATCCAGTACTTTCGGTGCCAACTCCACAACCAGTGTCGTTCCCTTTGCCTGGCACTTGAGTGCACAGGGCTTGTCCGGATGATCGTACACTGGAAGCCAAGCGTGGTACTGTCCCTGGTACTTTACATCATTGTATGCCGAGCATTGCTGGGCACGAAAGTCACCAGCTTCCGGAGGGCAAGTCTAGGTGCAATAGGAACAGATAGAAAAATGATGATCAGAACCATTCTGCAGACAATAACTAATCATAGAATCCTGCAGCATAGAAGGAGGCCATTCAGTCCATCGTGCCTGTGTCAGTTCTTTGAAAGAGCTGTCCAATTAGTCTTATTTCCCCTTTCTTTCCCGAAAGCCTTGCAATTTTTTTTCTTTTCAAATAAATATCTAATTCCCTTTTGAAAGTTACTATTGAATGTGCTTCCACCACCCTTTCAGGCAGTGTATTCCAGATAGTAATTTGCAGCCTAAAAAAAATTCTTCTCATCTTCCCTCAGTTCTTTTGTCAATTATCTTAAATCTGTGTTCTCTGGTTACTGACCCACCCACTTTTAAACTTTTAAATTGTCAAAAGAAATGTATACCCAGCTCAAAAACAATCGCTGGGATCACAAAAGTCATTACATTTCAATCACAAAAGAGGTTTGGATGAAAAAAGGCCTTCAGCACACAAGATCTTGTATTTCCAGAATATCAGAGAGTAAATCAATAGCTGCAATTGGTTGCTAGGAAGGGTGGTAGAGGCCAAAACATTGAACTCACTTAAGAAATAGCTGAAATCAAATGAGGGGAGAGGGTAGTGAAATTCCACACAAACATTCTGTCATTTTGTACAACTCTCAGCCCATTGTTAATTTAAGGCTGTTTAGCTGTTGGTAGAAGTGTCCTGAAGGCTGATGTAGAAAGAACTTGCATGATGATAGGGCATGTCCTTTTAACTAAAACATTCTTTTAAGCTATTCCTGCTTTCATCCACAAATTTCTTTCTCTTAGACAAAAGTCAGTTCTGCGGTCCTCCGTACCTTAATACATCTTTCTCTACACAAATATCTTTTTACATGAAGAGTAGCATCTGTACTTTATTGGCTTTGACAAGAGATAAGCCTGACATAGATAGAGTTAACAGGCCCAAGTACCACTGAAAGAAGAGTTGCTGGAATCAACAAATTATAATTTATTATACAATGGGACAAAAGTTCAGATTTGCTTGACCTTGACAGTCTTTACAGAACTGCCAAAGTTGTTTAACAGCCTTGTACTATACTAATAGTCACACCAACTGTCAGTACCATTAGTTCCATTCTTAAACTATTTATGGTCTTTATTGTGACATGTTTATACCTTAAAAATAATAATTCTTGCATTTGATGTAGAGCCTTCCATGTCAGGAGGACGGCTCACATCACTACCACAAATTTACTGCTCCTTCTTACACATCTTTGTATATTTGCATAACATCTTCACTTGTTATGCTTGCATTGTGGAAGAAATATGAGGGTATAATAATAATAATCCTTGCATTTGATATAGCGCCTTATCATGTCCTTGAGATGTCTCAAAGCGCTTCACAGAATTTACTGTAAAGTGAATTAACTGTATATTTATGGGCGAAACGCGGCAGCCAATTGCACACAGCAATGTCCCACAAACAGTCGTGGATTAAGTAGATGATTCAGGGGAAATCGTTCTCCAGAGCTTTGCAGGACATAAAAGTTGTTAGACTGTCTTACATATACACTAAATTGGACAATATACGGTATAATGTTTTATGATTTCCTTTCATTCTGATGATTGCAAATTCTTGTGCACTGTGTCATGATGTTGTAGATTAAACAGTCTACACAAATTGTTGCAATGTCTAACAAGGTTTGCAGGAAATTCAGATTTTAAAATGCCAACCCGGGCTACCATTTGGCAAATGTGTATTAAATATCAACTATTATGTAAACTGATATGATTATGGTCTTTAAAATTCTGAAGGGAATAGATAATGTAGACGATTATCAGCTTCTCCATCTTGTACTGAACAGTAGAACCAGAGAATATGGCCTACGATTGAAGGGGAGTAAATTCAGAACAAATCTGCGGAAATACTATTTCAGTGAGCGAGTGGTAAACTTATGGAACAGGCTCCCTAGGGAGACAGTGGAAGCAGAAAATGTTCTTTTTTTCAAGAACAAAGTAGATAAATTTCTGCTGGAAAATAATATCTCGGGATATAGTATATAATGTGGGAAACAACATGTCAAGCGACTACCAGGATGGTGGAAGGCGAACTGGATGGACTTTGGTCTTCTTTCGCCTAGCAAATTCTTTTCTTATGGATAACCCCATGCTGTATGGAGGACTGTAGCTCAGTGGTTAGAGCACTCGTCTTGCAAGCGAGACACCTGGGTTCAATTCCAGGCAGGGCGAAACCTTGGGCAAGTTTCCTTACTCCACACGCCTAATAATAATCCCTCCAAAACAAAACAATAATAAATTGGTCATTTTCAATCCACGACTGTTTGTGGGACACTGCTGTGCGCAATTGGCTGCCGCATTTCGCCCACAAATATATGGTCAATTCACTGTACAGCATTCTCTGTGAAGCGCTTTGAGATGTCTAGATTATTATTATTATATTATTATTACCATTTAATACCTTCCCAGGTCGAATGCTGAAATTGGCACATGGTAGAAGTTAAAGATCCCATAGCACTATTAGAAAAGAAAAGGAAGTTTCTTCCAGTGTCCTGGCCAACAATTCCCCATTTAAAAATTGGTCATTCCCTCCAATGGCTGCTTGTGGGACATTGCTGTGTGCAAGAAGTTCACCTAAAATAAAGTCACTACACATTACAGTCTATTTTGTGAAGCACTTTGAGACCTCCTCCCAATGTAAAAGGCACAATATCAAATGTTAGGATTATTATTATGAATATCCCCTCACCTACGCTCCTGTATTCCCTTCTCCCTCGTGTTGCTTTCCACAGTTGTTATTAACAAACAAATGGATTGTCCTACCACAGTTTTCAACAACAGTTTCTGAAAACGTCTTGCTTGAATATTTCTTGCAATGTCTGGCATATTGGCTTCTGGGGACAGTTCATACTCAGTGAGAAGTAAGTAATAGTTATCACTGAATGCTGTTGACTGCATTTTGGGTTGATGTGATCATTAACACCTGTATTAGTATCACATTCTACATATTTTACTTTGATCTACTTGTTCTATTGATCTAGATTTTATACTTTTCTTTTTAGCATCATCTAATTGATCCACATCAGTAGCCCTGGCTGGAAGCCTGTTCCTCGTGTTCATTGCTATATGGCATGCAAAAAAAATCCCTTTTAATCTCTTGGGGGTTGTTAATTTTAAATTTATTTCCTCTCTTTCTATATTTAAGGCCTAAGTGAAATAATATGTTCACCTCTACATTGTCTATGCCTGTGTCCCATGTCACTTATGTGTGCTAATCCTGACAGTGGCTTTATTTATATGATCATGCTAGTCGCCTACTCTGTTGTTCCATGTCAAATTGAACCACTCATCAAATGAGTTCAGTAGATATATTGCTTCCATGTGTCCCCACAAGTGTAGGATTGTATTCCTGTGGTTCATTTCTTTTTGAATTAGATTGTTTTAACCTAACATAATGCATTGCTTCTGAAATTCAGTTTAAGAACTTTGCTTTGACAGTTTGGGATGGAACGTTATAGAAATTGAGAAGGAGTGGAAATATTTTAATAGGGATTGTTTTTGTGGAGTAGGTTAGAATACTGCCCCTTCACCTCTGAGCACTGGGTTCCATCGCAGCCCAGAGTGATGGGATAGAATTCTCTTTCTCTGCCAGTTGTAGGGGTGCTGGGTGAGATCAGTTTGAGCAATTGCAATTCTAGTAGACATGAGTGCACAGCACATCATATCTTATAACCAGCTAATATTAAATTGGCAAACTTCCAGAGTGGCCACAAGGATGGCTGGAGCAAGGAATGGAAACAGTCACACAGTAGAATGTGCTCTTTTGAGGCTAAAGCTAAAGGATTTTGTTGGAACAAAGTAGCAGGAACTTTACACTGTACCACTTAATCCATGTTACACCTGAGTTTAGGACTGTTTCATGGTCCTTGGCTTGAAATTTACAACCTCCAACCTTGATGAGCACAACAGGGATGTAAAATTGTGACCTGTGATGTGTTAATCAACCCATTGCTAAAACATGCTGCCAGTTAATGTATTAATTTAACAACTTCTGCTCTCCCACTCATATTGTCACGTTGGTCTGGTCTGAAATTGTCTGCTACACTTACCATCTCTACAGACTGGCGTGGCAGCCTGTTGGCGTGGATGCCTGTGCATTGCAGTGCCAGTTCATGGATTTCTTCTGCTCTTTATGTCAAGGTGAACGGTTATCTCAGAAATTGACATTCCAGAATTGTGCAGCTTCAAGCTTATTGTCCAAGGGGAGGCGGTGGGGAAAGGTGTTACACCCTTGACTAGTCAATAAAAGACTGGATACTTTTTCAAAAATATGTGAAGTCATATTTCACAGATCAATTTTCACCTAATAATTCATACATTTGTGTAATTTTTTTCTGTCAGCCTAATATACACGGATATCCATTGTAATGCTTTAGAATATTCAAGCCAAACTACTATGCATTCCACATATGCCAGGGAAGTTTCCTTTCTTCAAATGGAATGCACAGTTTCTCCCAAAGGCCCATATCCTGCTCACCTAATCCCAAAAAGTATTAGGTGCAAATTGGCAAGAGCCAAGGCATGGGAACCACAGAGTGTGTATTGTGGTACTGCTGGAGTTTAATCAGCTAAAACTGCAGTGCTTGCCATTCAGAGTGCTGCAAGTTTCCCGATTTGACCAGCTAAGATCATCCTATCCTTCAGGGCTTTGGTTTGCAAGGTTGACAGAAGTAGTGGAAAGAATCCTTGTTCCCAGTGACATAATTGAGGAAACTGGCATAGAAGAGATACTGAGGCAGGCTGTGTAAAACAACGTTTTTCAAATGAAGAGAATGAGAAAAAAAGAGCAAAAACGTGTTAAAATGTATCATTGGATTTAACATGAAAAGGTAATTGAAGACATGTGCTATTAATTTGAAAATGTCTTCAAACTTTAAAGCAAAGATCAATTCTAATTCTTTTGGACGTTTATAGGACATGTTCTTTATTACACCCTCATAATT